CTTTCATATTACTGTTATCTAAAGTAAAATTCACACATATCTTCCCCGTCCCTTCTACACACCAAGTTCCTAGATTCAAAACAGCAAGACTCAGGTTAAAGACAGAAAGGGAATTTTGAGATCGTCTCACTTTGGTCCCATATTTTAGAGATGAGGAGACATGGGCATCCTAGGACCCGTATGGTTAGAATGGATCCTTAAAGATCATCTAGTCTAGTTCCCTCGTTTTACAGCTGGGGAGTCTGGGGGACCTTGCTATCCATAGGGAATCCCCTTTCAACCTAGGCTATGCCCTGGATTTCTACATGAAAAATGATGAATACATTTCCTTGCTGTGTGCCTCCCCTGACATTTATTATCAGCAGGTCACTGAACAGGTTTATTTCTATTGTTACATCTTCCGAGGAATCCTGAATGATCTTGATTTATATTTGGAGACAGCTTCCTATAAAAGGGCCAATAAAGTGGCATTTTGTTCTATGGAATCAACACGCGATAATCAACAAGCAATGAACAAAATTGCATTTTATATTCTCTATGTCTTTAAGTTAATTGTGAGATAGTAAATGCGGTGCACTGTAGAATATCACTTCTGAAAGCCTGCTTGTCTCCTATTAATACCTTCACCAAGCATGTCCTTGATTTGTATATAAATATCACAAAGATTGAGTATAGTTGGAAGAACAGTTATATAGGTTGTTAGTTATTAATGTTTTCTTGGTTACCTTTCTTCGGTTTTAACAAGGTCTGAGATTTTTTTCATGTCTTTGGTAAGTACTCTCTTTCAGATACATCGTATATTGCGTCCTCCATGTCCTTACAATTATATTACTTCCAGCATGCATTTCCTCCATAGGTACTTGGTCAAAGTCGTCCATTTTCTTTGTCTTTGTTCTCATTAATGACATTTCTATCTCCTCTATAAGCTCCTAAGGGACTTGTGTTCAAGTGTGGTGGTTCTACTATCATTGATGTAGAAAAAAGTTTGTTAAAATGGATTTTTTTCTTTTTTCTATTATAATATGTTATATTATCATAGATTTTTCTTTTCTCTGTACTCCTTCCATTTTTATCCTTTAACACCTTTGGAATAACTTTGCTTAGATGAATATTTTGCTCTTTCTTTAAAGTAGTTTTATCATTTAAACTAGTTTCTTTAAACTAGTTTTATCGTCCACTGTTTCTTTATACTTTGTGAGGTATTGCTACTTATCATCTTTCTTCAAAAGATTTTATGGATGAATTTATAATTCTAGCCTGGTGCTGCATTTGGCAACCATCTCTGTCCATCTGTCAAGTAAGTCAGATGTTGGCTAAGTAAGGTGCTTTCTAGGCCCTTTTGGGCTTCTTGTAGTAATTAATTTACATTGGTTTAACTTCTGAATGAAATTGTTATAGTCAGTGTTGATATAATTTCTGTTGTCCATTTCTCATTTCATAATTTTTAATAACTTATTTAAGTAATTCAGAATTAAATGTTTTTAATCATATGTCATCTTTTTCTAATTCTTCTTATTGTTTATTATACATTCTAATCTTGTCTCTGATGAATTGATGGTATGATTGCTCAAACAGTTTACTCAAAGATAACTTCTAAATCCATAATAAATATTTTATTTTTTGATAAAATTTGGTCAATTTCATTTTTTGTGATGTTATTTGGTGCTTGCTGTATCTTTTTTTTTAAATTTTTTTAATTTTTTAAATTTTTAGGCAATTGAGGTTAAGTGACTTGCCCAGGGTCACACAGCTAGTAAGTGTCAAGTGTTTGGTCTGAGGCCACATTTGAACTCAAGTCCTCCTGACTTCAGGTGCTGTATCCACTGTGCCACGTAGCTACCCCCATGCTTGCTGTATCTAATGTCTACCAGTCTTCCCCCTTTTTTGGGAAGAAAGTGGTCATGAGATGGAGGCATGAGATTTCCATATTATCTACAAGTCTTTGACCTCTGTAATTTCTTCTCCCAATTGTCACCTTTTCCCACTTTTGCATCAAAATCACCAAGTGTCATAGTATATATTGACTTAATTTGGAGGGTCTGTTCAAGCTCCTCATGTCATTTCTCTACCCCTTCATCCTCAGCAACCGATGTTGACATATAAGCTACAGTTATTTTTGTGGTGGTCTTTTTTCAGATTCATATAATTAGCACAGCAATATGTAATGAACAAATGTCCCATGGGCAAGGCATGGATTATCTGATAAAAACAGACAAAGAAACAAAAAATAGTATGCATCAGCTTAGCAAAGCTTTTTTTTTTCTTTTTAAAAAAAATTTATTTTTTTATTAATTTTTTTTGATTTATCAATAACCACTTCCATATGCTTTTGAGTTTAAAATTTTTCTCCTCCTTCCTCCCCACCACCCTCCCCAAGACGGCACACAATCTGATATAGGCTATACATTTACATTCATATTAAACATATTTTCACATTAGTGATGTTGTAAGTAGAAATTAAAATCAATAGGAGGAACCATCAGAAAGAGGAAACAAAACTCAACAAAAGAGAAAAAAAAATAACAATTTGGCTTCCATAGTTCTTTCTTTGGGTGTGGATACCATTTTCCATCACAAGGCCTCTGGAGATGCCTTAGATCCTTGTGTTGCCAGGAAGGGTTAAGTTTATCAGGATTAGTCATCGCACAATGTAGCTGTTATTGTGTACAACGTTCTCTTGGTTCTGCTCACTTCATTCTGCATCAGACCATACAAGTCTTCCCAGGTTTTTCTGAAGTCAGCCTGTTCATCATTTCTTATAGCACAATAGCATTCCATCACATTCATATACCGCAACTTGCTCAGCCATTCCCCAGCTGATGGCCATCCTCTCAATTTCCAATTCTTTGCCACCACAAAAAGAGCTGCTGTGAATATTTTTGTGCATGTAGGTCCTTTTCCCATTTGTGTGATCTCTTTGGGATACAGCCCTAGAAGTAGCAAAGCTTTTTAGAGTACCTTTCATCCCTTCCTAATTCTAATCATTTGGGCTCTAGAGTTCATGTTCTTCTGTAAGGTTACCTGTGAAAAGCTTTGATCTCTAAAACAGAAAGAGGCCCCCGACTTTTCCATTCAGGCCTTATTGAGGACTTGTAATACCAGCGTACAGTTGGGTTAGATCTGGTTTTACCCCATATGCATGTTTACAAACTGTCATCTACTTATGTGTTTATGTTTCTGATATGTGATTTGCATATTGCAGTAATACTTTTTATATACAGTGGTTGCCTTTCTTCCAGGTGGCTGAAAGCACTCACGTCTTATTTATCTGTGAATTGCCTCTAGGATAATGCACAAATTCCTTGGCTTGGCATTTAAAGCCCTCCATGACAGGCTTTTCAGGATTTGTTCCCATATTACTCAGCTTCCCACACTCTGTGTTCCAGCTAGGCTGGTCTACTTGCTGATCCCCAAACTTGGCATGTTAGCACTCCCTTCCATGCCTTTCTTTGCACAGGCTGGCTGTCCCCCATCCCTGGACTGTGTTCCCTTTTCTCTCCCACCTCTTAGAATTCTTATCTCCCTTCAAGCAGAGTCCACGTTTCACTGCCTATACGAGGCCCTTTCTGCTACTCCTAGTTAGTACTTTCTCTTTCCTTAAATTATTGTGTATTTATTTAGTTCTTTTCATGTTGTATCCCTCTGGTAGAATGTAAACTCCTTCACAGCAGGGGCCATTTTTCATTTTGTCTTTGAATGTCCAGTGCCTTGAACATAGTAGGCACTTAAAAAGTACTTTAGAGATTGGATTGTTATAAATATTCATAATGTACATAGTAGATAGATTTTTATGTTTCCTATATTTTGGTACTGGGGGTGCTTTGTTATAAAATGCATTATGTTATTATCTATTTAATGTGAGTTTTGCCTCTACAATGAGACTATAAGTTTCTCGAGTTCAGGGACTATATCTTATATATCCACCATAATGACTCAGTGCTAGTATATATTGGGTAAATGCTATTTTTTTCTTTTTTTGGGGGGGCAATCAGGGTTAAATGGCTTGCCAATGGTCACACAGCTAGTAAGCATCTGAGGCTAGATTTGAACTCAAGTTTTCCTGACTCCAGGATGGGTGCTCTTTCCACTGCGCCATCTAGCTGTCTGCTATTGGATAACTGCTAAATCTACATCTTGAATAGACTTCAAGGAAAACCTCGTTTAATCCATCAGTTTTTCAGTGAGAAAATTGAAGTGCAAACAAATAATTTGTCTGAGGCCACAAAGCTGGATAGTAATAAAGCTAGACCTTGAACCCAGGTCTTTTAGATTCCTAGCTCAGGATTCTTTCCTATGCATCACTGTCTTCCTTCTTGGATAAATTCATTTGGCGAACATGGATACAACATCATCAAAGAAACATATGTTTGGTCAATTTAGTCAATTAACCATCAATTCAGTGGGAAAATGTAATTTAACCCTGTTATTTGACAGATATTCCTATCAGATTCAGTCAAAATAGTCAGTTTTGAAGTCCTATATGAATATATTCTAGGCTATGTTGTAGTGGCTAGGGTGGGACAGTGGATAGAGGTCTGGGCCTAGAGTCAGGAAGACCTGAGTTAAAATCTAGCTTCAAACACTTACTAAATGCGTGATCTTGGATAAATCACTAAACCTCTATTTGCCTCAATTTCCCCAATTGTAAAATGAGGATTATAATAACAGCACTTAAGTCTCAGGGTTGTTGTGAAGATCAAATGAGATGATATTTCTAAAATAATACTTTAGAAGAGTTTCTGGCACGTAGTAGGCTCTATATAAATGCTTATTCCCTTTCTTTACATACCAGAGGCAGTGTTCATTTCACTCCTTCGTGGCAATGAGACCCTTCCCATTCAAAATCCATAATCCCATGATCCTCCAGTTAGTCATTTTACTTTAAAATTAAAAAATTTTGCTTATTTTAAACATTTTTCAAAAAAATTTTGAGTCTCAAATTCTCTCTCTCTTACTTGCTCCTCCCTCCCTCACTGAGAAGGCAAGCAACATGATATCAAATAAATATGGAATGCTTCACGAATTTGCATGTCATCCTTATGCAGGGGCCGTGCTAATCTTCTCAGTATTGTTCCACTGTTAGTATACGTGCTGCCAAAGTGGGCATGCCATCTAGTTACTTTAATATCTCCTTGCTCAGAACTATTATCCTTGCCGGTCACTTTGGCATTTAATCATATAATGTCATATGTTATCAGTGTTAGTATTTTCCATCCTCTTAACAAGGTTGTAAACTCCCAGAAGTTGTGGCCCATGCTTTATACTTCTCCCTTATGCTTCAGAGTCAGTCAGTCAGTCAGTCAGTCAATAAACATTTATTAAGAGCCTACTATGTGATAGTCACTGTGCAAAACTCCAGGGATACAGAGGAAGTCAAAAGACAGTCTCTGCTCACAATCTAAGGGAGGGAGTCTATATACAAACAACTGTCTACAGAAAAACTATAGACAGGATAAATTGGCTAGAGGGAAGTCATTAGAACATGGAGAGATCGGAGCAGGCTTCCTAGAGCACCTGACGCAGAACTGGGCACATGGTAATGACACAATTAATACCTGTTGTGTTACATTTGAGACCTCAGTATTACAAAAGGGCAATACTTTCAGTGGTGTGAGTATCCCTTCCAATTGTGGAGAGTTCAGACCTCTCTGTACCTTATTAGTTGGTCTTAATGAGTTGCTATTGATACCCAAGGTCACTGAGTGGCCAAGCTTTCTGCTGCTGAGCTTCCTCAAGCTAGCAAAGACTGACGCTCGATGACAACCCTAGATGTCTGGACCCTTGAAGTTAGGGAGGCCCGAGTTCGAACCCTCTTCATTGTGGCAGAATCTGCCAGGTCCAGAAGGAAAATGGGCTGAATTATCTTTGGGAAATTGACTATCACCCCAAAACTGCTTCTGGCAACAAAGATGAATCTTTTTTTCTTTGCTTTCAGGTGAGGCAATTGGGGTTTGCTCAGGGTCACAAAGCTAGTAAGTGTCAAGTGTCTGAGTTCGGATTTGAACTCAGGTCTTCCTCACTCCAAGGCTAGAGTTCTATCCACTGCTCCACCTAGCTGCCCCAAATCTTTTTCTCTTTAAGCACCACCATGCTTTTGGGGATGCTGCCTGGATTCCAGTTGAGGAGCACCCAAAGTGCGAAGGCTAGACTAGGGTCATGGCAACCATGAGCTGGCTGTGAGAAACAGTATAAAGGGGAGAGGTCATCAGAAAAATATGACATTGGAGGGAAAAAAGAAAAGAAGATGATTCTGTCGTAAAGGAAGAGAGAGGGATAAATGATGAATGGTCTACATGATTCATTGGTAACTAATATTAATAGCTAAAAGTTATATAGTACAGTCCAAGCACTGTGCTGAACATCACAAAGATTACTCATTTATCCTCACAACAACCTTGAAAGGTAGGTGCTATTACTATCCCCATTTTGCAGATGAGGAAACTGAGGCAAATGGAGGGTTACCCAGATAATAAGTGTCTGAGGCCAAATTTGAACTCAGGCCTTCCTGACTCCAGACCCGGCACTCTACCCACCTTGCCACGGAGGTGCCAGGAAATCTAGAGGAATCCTCAGCACATTGGGTGCACCCTGTGGTGAACGTATAGACAAACACAGACAAGAGTGGCACAGAATGGATAGACATGGACAGGTTCTCATCTGTGCCTCATGAGAGTGAGTCCTCAAATGGATGAGCCCGGATCTATCAGAGGAACTGACAAAGCTTGATTTTCACTAGCAAAACCTTGGAAAACCCAAGATGATTTTTCAGATTTTATCTTAGGACTTCAGTGGATGCGTTCTTCCCACATATAGTTAAGTGAGGAAAAGTGACAGACAGCATAGGAAAGCATTGAGTTGTCCAGAAGGAAGGTAGGTGCTATGCAAATTCTAAGTATTATTGAGCTTTTCTCGAAGGAGGAAATTTTTCCTGGTGCTTCCAGATCTGCTCAGGGCAGGGTTGTGCTTTACAGTGTAAATCACTGTACTCTTTTGTGACTTAATAAGTTTCTCAGACTTTATGGTGTAGTGAGACAGATTTCCATAAACTCTACAAGAAAATCACTATAACTGCTTTATCTTCACGCTTGTATAGCTCAACTGACTTGTCTCACCTAAAACTTGGCTCAGTCTCATCACCAGGCTTGTAAGTAGCAATTCTTTGTTGTGATCATCATCACAAATACCTTACATTTATGCAGTGTTTTGTATATTAACACCTCACTTATCTGGCTTCAACAGGGAATGTGTTGTAGGTGAGTAAAGTGAGGCCCATCCCCTTTCAACTCTAAAACTTTAAAGAAAATTATTTTCCTTTGTTTTGGATGGAAATCTTCCTTGAATGAAAATTCCTCCTCTGATGGTTCGTTGTGTCATAGTGGCATTCGTAGACTCTCAGAGGCGGTACTAGGGGAGCGCAAAGTCTGACAGGGTTGATAAAGCTGGAAAGCCTTTGAGCATTGCCCTGTCAACAGATCATCTGCTGTATGAGGACTGGCCAACCTGTGGATGGAGAGACTCATCAGCACTAGAAGGAGATGAAAGTTTCTGGCCACGATGACCTGGGAAGGAGACGAAAAACTCAAAATGAATTTTCTTCCTCAGTATTCCCTTTCCACTTCTAAAATGGCTATGGAAGAGGGATGAAAAAATAGGCAGAGGGGGTTGAGATGCAAATTTAAATAGAGACTATTAGACTATAATTTAAGGTTTTCTACAAAAGGATCATAGTGGACGTCAGCCATAATACTACCGGGGGATTCATGATGCCCTCAGTATCAAGGAATACTGAGACCTTCCAGGTTATTTTCCTCTACCCTAAATATCCTCAGACTTGTAGACTTTTATTTTTCAGTCCTTGTGTCTGGTTTTAATAGTTTTCCTGTCCATTTCTTTGCTATTAGACTGACAGCCATCACTTATTGTTGTTAGCAAGCCTAACTCTAGCTTAGGTATGGGGACCTGTGACCTTGAGGGCACATGTGGCCCTCTAGGTCCTGAAGTGCGGACCTTTGACTGAATCCAAACTTCACAGAACAAATCCCCTTAATAAAAGGATTTGTTCTGTAAAACTTGGACTCAACCAAAAGGCCACACCTGAGGACCTAGAAGGCCACATGTGGCCTCGAGGCACAGGCTTCTCACCCCTGGTCTATAATCTCTATTCACTTGGTGCTTCTAATGTGCTATGAATTGGGAAACTGTTTTGGGCCTCTTAGAAGTGTGTGTGTGTGTATGTGTGTGTAAACAAGGTGTGTAAGATCTGAGTGAAGTTAAAATGTATGAATTTTAATTGATGGACTCGTTGCCATCTCTTATGGCTTTCTCCAAGGCCTTTTTTTTTGCTTAAATGTGGGTTGTTAGATAAGTAAGGTGTTATTGAACTTTTAAAAGCATTTTACATCTCTTTTGATCATTTATTAAGAAGAAACAATTCTGAAAAAAATTTTTTGATGAAATATTTAATACTTAGAACAAGGAAATATTCAAGTAGCCTTGATTTTATTGCCATTAACTCCTTTAAATGAAAATTTGTAGGGAGGTAAAAAGCATTTAGTTATTTTGATCTCTAGTTTTTTAACTGGTAAAATGTAACTGAATTTGTGGTTTTTTCATGAAGGGTCCTGTATTGGCCAAAATTTTGCTATGATTATTATGCAATATTAGGAATAACTGATAATCATATGCAGAAAAACCTGGTTGCAATGTATTATGTGCAATAAAATTAATTTATGTGTATGTACATACAATTGTTTCCTATTTCTGGAATTTTTTTCATCTTAAAATGCAAGAATTACTTCTTCCTTAATAGAATAAATAGGCATGTTTAAAAGTTTCATTAGAATTTTAAAATAAAGATGAGTCTTTAGAATTGATTTCTTGTACTGAAAATATTTTATAATGAAAGATTGTCAGTTGAGATAGGGTAAAATCTAAGGTATCTTTATAGTCCTACACAGGGCTAGCATTCTCACTGTCATGTCACTGTACTTCACTGTAACCTTGATAGATCACCCCTATAAATATCTCTTGGGGGTGAAAAGTAATTTTATCTGGAGATCTGTATATTACCTCCTCATGAACATCCTATCAATTGTGCCAGAATGCTTTCATCATATGCACTGAAGTGAGACTATCAAACCTATTTCACTTAGGTTTGTTAGTTAGACTGGAATCTTTAGTCTTAACTCTGTCATTAAACTTTGCTAAGAGGTTGTTCACTTATGCATGGAAAAAAAGCAGTCCTCGTGATTTGGTTGCAAAGACCTGTCTGCTTCAATAGCTCAAGGGAACTGGAGATATTCATTCATTCTTGCCTTTAGATTGACCCAGTAGAATTCAGGAGGTGAGGAGAAAGCAGGAACTCTTACCACTGACTCACCATTTCCTGTGCTCCAAGTTACATGTACATGGTCCACTTTGTAATTACCCACATCACAGAAAATATAAAGAAGGCCAGAGCTGTTATTGAGGTGGGGCAACTAGGGCTTTGCCCTAGGGTGCTGAAATTTATAAGGGTATTGACTATTCTGTCAAATCTTTAGCAGTGTAGAAATGACTGGATTTAACACCTAGCAAAAATAATTAGTTATAATAGGATGCTGCTAGAGCGTGTATTTTACCTTTCAGTTGTTGAACCCAGCCTGGTCTACCCTATTCTTCTTAGCAATGGCCTCTCAGTATCCTGGAGTCACCATTGCTGTCTCTTCTCTCAAATGAATCGAGTGTTGTTTGTTTTCCTTACCCAGACACATTTTTGTGCTGCAGAAGCAAAATTGTAATTTACGGTTCTGAAGAAGGCTGTGCTTGCTTGTTCATCCTTTCGTCTTGAAGAGGACCAATAACATCGACATCTTGACTTGCACCTGAATTGGATTTGAGTGAAGCACAGCTGTGGAAAGCCTCAGTCAGTCTGCCTCTCTCCTCCAGTCATCGAAATCCAGTGGCAAGACATAAGTCAAGACAACAGACGATGACCTGGAATACAGTGGTTGACCTTGGCCTTGCTAAGCTTAGGTGTTTCCCAGGCCTCTAGATTTAAAGTGTCAAAAGGGAACAGTGCCTAAATTTCAATACCTGTGAGCACGTGTTCCTCTTAGAACTGACCAG